CATTCATCCATCCCCCATCCCTTCCTCCCCCATTCTTCCCTCCTGCATCCATCCATCCCTCCTTCCCCTATCCATGATCCCTCCCTGTGGCCACCAGTCAGTCCCAGAAATTGCAGATAGCAGCACTTAACAGCCTTGCAAGATAATGCACACATTGTCATGGGAATCGAGAAGAGAGAGGCATTATTTCTACCTGGGGAAAATTAGGGAGACTTCTTCCTAGAGAAAGTAATGTGTATTGGCAGCCACAAAATATAGGTGGCATTTGTCATGTGGCTAAAACAGAAAGGAGGAGTGCCAGCAGAAAGGATGGGGACCGTGGTGGTTAGGAAGACAATTTTAGGTGGTTCCTATACAAGCATTTAAATTTTTAATAGTTACACATCAATTTAATGTGTGCTATGAAATGTAACTTGGTCCTCAAGCCTGTGGTGTCTTGGACAGCATTTCTGCGGATGTGGCATAGCCATCCCATGCCCAAATGGCGGGCAGAATGGGCATCTGTGCCCAGCCCCGGGAAACCAGCCAGCTCATGGTCAGAGCACTGGATACTAAAGCCCTCTCCTGGTCCCCAGCCCCCAGGAGTCTTTCCTGTTTCCTGGGATGGAGGACCTGTCCCACTGGCCCACGGCATAGGAATGAGGGGACCCGGGCTGCCCTGCGTAGCTCCTCGCCCCAGGCCCCTTGGCCGGCTGGGCTGGTGGCAAAGGCTGGAATGTGGGAGCAGGCAGGCCCTGAGGGCTGCCAGAGCCCAGTGCTTGGTTTAGAAACTTGGCTGCATCTTCGGAACACAGGGAGAGGAAACCTTGAACATCCCTTCGGGGCCCTCGGAGCTGGGGAGTGGCCACTCGTGGTTTTCAGTATGTGGCGGTGATTAGAGTGGGGTCTGAGCGAGAGCATCTGACTCCCTTCGTGAGCGCGTGGAAATGGACACTTGGGGCGGCCCTTCTGCAGGGCGCTGGTTCAGCTTCACAGCCTCCACAGCCGCTCCCCAGTGGCCTTCCTGCCTGGCCTCAGGAGGGGCCCTGGGGAGCCACATTGTGCTGCCCCTGTCCCTGCAGGTGCTGGAGGAGCCGGAGTCATCCCTGGCATCGGAGGGGGTGGCATTCCTGGAGGAGCTGGCACCATTCCCGGGATTGGGGGCATCGCAGGTAGCATCACATCCAGCAGGGGGTGGGCACGTCTTTGGGGGGAAAGGGCCTCAATGCCTGTGGCTGTCTTTTCAGGGGCTGGGACTCCTGCAGCAGCTGCCGCTGCAAAGGCTGCCGCAAAGGCTGCCAAGTACGGTGAGTGCCCCCAGCGTGGTGGCCCAGGGCTCGGGCCCTCTTGGGCCTCCGTGTGGACCCTGAAGACCCAGTCCATGAGGCTGGGGGTCTTTGCCTCCATCCACCTAGCCACCTCCCTCCCACCTCCACAGGCACAGTCCACGCCTCCTTGCCTTTGCCCATTCTCTACCTGAGATGCCACCTCCTGCTTCTGCAGGATGACTCCGGAGGGGACCCTGGGTGTACCTGTTCTGCCCACCCCATTCCTTGCCCCAGGGCTGCTCTTGAATCCCCTGCCTGGATACCCATAGGCAGGGATTCTGATTTTGCTTTAGAAATAGATCACACTCTATCCAACCCCAGGAACTCTTTAGGGCCCCTCCTAGACCCTCCCCAGCTCTTTGATGAATTGGCTCCATGTACCTGTCATGACCCTGTCTCACACACACACACACACACACACACACACACACACACACACACACACACACACACACACACCCTAGCTCCCCTGGACCCCTTCTGGGAGGCCTGAGGAGGTTCCCACAGGGCTCAGCAGGAGAACAACCCTTTTCCTTCCTCAGGAGCTGCTGGAGGCCTAGTACCTGGTGGGCCAGGAGTTAGGATCCCAGGTGTCGGGATCCCAGGTGTCGGGATCCCAGGTGTCGGGATTCCAGGTGTTGGGATCCCAGGTGTCGGGATTCCAGGTGTTGGGATTCCAGGTGTTGGGGGCCCAGGTGTCGGGATCCCAGGCATTGCAGATGGAGCAGGTGAGCTTGTGTGTGTGTGTGTGTGTGTGTGTGTGTGTGTGTGTGTGTGTGTGAGAGAGAAAAATTCCAGGTGTTGGGGGCCCAGGTGTCGGGATCCCAGGCATTGCAGATGGAGCAGGTGAGCTTGTGTGTGTGTGTGTGTGTGTGTGTGTGTGTGTGTGTGTGTGTGTGTGTGAGACAGAACAATATAGAAACTAGTACCAAGACTTTTGCATGCTCCCCAACTCCGCTCGTTTGCCCACATCCTTGGCCATGATTCATTGCCTCATCTTCCACCCATGGGTTGTAACAACCAACCAATTAGCTGCCACCAGAATCATTGTCCCTGATTTACCTTCCAAGTGTCTGGGGGGCAGGAGCTGTGTCTTTTCATCTCCACACCCCTGCCCCCTTGGCTGAGCAGCTGCTCAGTACTAAATGGTGGCAAATGGGTGGGCAGGTAGGCACCCGGTGGCCAGGTAAGTGGCCATGTGGATGAGCAGGCAAGATGACGGGTGGGGGAGGAGATGGGTAGATGGATTGACAGAGACCAGAGTGGGTGGTCCATGGGTAGATAGAGAGGGACAGAGAGATGGAAAATAAATGGGTAGGAGAGAAACAGGTGGGCATGCAGGCAAGGGGCTACATTAGTGGTTAGGAAGATGGATGGATGGATGGATGGAAAGGTGGGCAGGAGGGAGGCAGGCAAATGCAAACTGGGTGGTCGTCTAAATGGCTAACACAGTAGGTGGGTGGGCGGGTGAGTAGATGGTGGACAGAGTTGGGTAGTTGGGCTGAGATAAACAAGTGGACAGACGTGGAGTTGGGAGAGTGGGTGGATGTGTGGGAGAGCTCGTCCATGTTGGCCTGATAGACAGCAAGGTGACATAACAGACAGATGCACGGACAGAGGGGTGTCCTGGGTATGTCTCCTCCATTCTCTCCTGAGGATTTTTGTTCCTTGATCTCTCTAGGGCCAGCTGCAGCTGCTAAAGCAGCAGCCAAAGCAGCTAAATATGGTGAGTGCTTTGCCCCAGCCTGATCTGGCCTCTCACTGCTTACTAGAGAAGGGAAGCAACTTACCCAGGGTCACAAAGTGGGGTCTGGGGTGTTGTCTCCACCGGGGATGTCCACTGTGAAGCCATGGGGTTGAGTGGTGGAACAGTCCAGGGATGGCTCTCCAGTGGGGACAGTGTCCCTGGCCCTCCTTGCTCTGGCCGGCTGCTTTCAGAGGCACCCAAGCTCAGCTGGGGAGAAGCCCACGCTCAGTTTCCCAACCGTTCCTGAGCACCCAGGGAACAGAGGTGCCTTGAGGAGGAAGCTGGCCAGGGGCCCGGGTGCCCACTGCTTGTGCCCATCGACCAGCCCTGGGGGGACATGCATCCTCTTTCCCAGTTGCCAGCATCCCCCAGAGCCCTTCTGGCCTCTCTCATCGAGGCCCCTCCCTCCATTCTCACCCCTGCAGGGGCCCAGGCTGGAGTAGGAGTTGGGGGCATCCCCACCTACGGGGTCGGAGCCAGGGGCTTTCCTGGCTTCGGCATTGGACCCGGAGTTGGGGTCGGACCTGGAGCTGGGGTCATACCCGGAGTCGGGGTCGGAGTCGGAGGTGTCCCCGGAGCTGGCCTTTCCGGTAAGCCTGAGTCCCATCTGGGAAACCGGTGCAGTGCAGGCGTGGGACTTTTCCTCTTCTTAGGGCAGCTGGGGTGGGCTTCCAAGGGCTCAGGAAGGGAGGAGGGACGGGAGCTGTGGTCCCACCCTGCCGCAAGCAGGGGAGGATCAGAGGGCCTCACACCCTCTTGTTCCCTCTTAGCAGCAGCCCAGGCCGCCGCTGCCGCCAAAGCTGCCAAGTATGGTAAGTGGTCCTGCCCTGCCTGTCCTCAAGCCCCGCTGCCCCACAGTGCCACTCTTCAAGATCAGGGCACATGAGAGGCACAGCCCTCTCCCACTTGGGCCTCGAGGGCTGGGACAGCCTGGCCAAGCTGGCCCCTCACCCCATGGCAAGCTCAGGCGCCAGGCAGCCGTGTTGTCTTCCCAACTCCCAGGCCCCAGCGGGTGGGCGCTGGATGCCGTTCCTCTCTCCTCCAGGTGCAGCAGGAGCCGGAGCCCTGGGAGGACTGGTGCCAGGTGCAGTACCAGGAGTGGTGCCAGGTGCAGTACCAGGAGTGGTGCCAGGTGCAGTACCAGGAGTGGTCCCAGGAGCGGTACCAGGCGCAGTACCAGGGGTGGTACCAGGCGCAGTACCAGCTGTGCCGGGCACTGGAGGAGTGCCAGGTGAGCTGGGGTCCTGATGCAGAGATAGGCTGGTCCCGAAGGGACCCTGGAACAGGTGGGAGTCAACCAGATCCAGAAACAGGAGGACACATCGAAATTTCCCCTAGGGCAATCCCTGGTCACTGATTCCTGGCAAGTCCTGTCCCTGGATAAGGGGGCTCAGGGATGCCCTCCTGCCCCATGGCAGAGCCTGTGCTGCCCGGGCTTGGGTGGTGTCCTGTCTCCCTGGGGTCTCTAGTTCCTTAGCAGTCGAGGACCTGACACCTTTGGGCTCTTTCTCCACCAGTCAGAGGCCAAAGGGAAGAGATTAAGAAGTGACTGTGACGCCCTTCCTTGGTTGTTTTTCCCATCAGCAGGTTTCTTTATTTTTTCCAGGAGAAAATTCCTCTTCTCAGTTTCCTTAAGAAACAAGCCAGGGCTGGGGAGAGGCATAATGGTAAAGCACATTCCTGGCATGTGTGAGGCCCTGGGTTCCATCCCCAGTCAGGAAAGAAAGGAAGAGCGAAAGAGAGGAAGAAAGGAAGAGAGGAAGAGATAGGAAAGGAAAGGGTAAGGGAAGGGAAAAAGAAAGGGAAAGGAACAGAAAGCACTCATTTCCTGCTATAATTTGACACAGGCACTATCAGGATGTTTTAGAATTCCCGGCACCCTAAGCAGAAAGTTCTGCCATACTTTGGGGAACAATTGTGACACCCTACCAATCACTGCTGTCACCCAGAATCCATCTCCCACGAGCTTAGAGCTGCTACTTGGGGTCACATGGAAACCCTGGTGGGGCAGGGGCTTGGCCAGGTGCCACCAGGAGGCTCAGAGCCAGGCCGGGAGCCCAGGTGCCCTCCCAGGCCAGGCTTTGCTCACTGCCCGCTGTCTCCAGCAGGAGGCGACGTGTACCCAAAGGGGCTTCTGCAGGGACGGCTGGGAGGGATGCGTGATCTTGAGGAGGGGTGCTGGGGTTGATGCCCTATTTCCTCTCTTCCTCCAGGAGCAGGGACCCCAGCAGCTGCAGCCGCCGCTGCAGCTGCCAAAGCAGCCGCCAAAGCCAGCCAGTATGGTAAGCGCCCCTGTGTCTGTCCCGACCCTGTCCCTTGCTCTCTGGTCCCCCTCTTTTCAGAGGTCTGTCGCCTTCTGGTTAGAGAAGCAGCTTGATCAGGTTCCTGGGGAGCTCCCAGAACCCGTCTCCTGCACCTTGGCAGCCCCAGGCATGCACACTTCCCTGAATATGGTGACTGGCCACAGCCCAACTTGTGGGACCCAGCTGTGGGTCAGACCCTAGGCCCGGTAGGGGTCTGTGAGCCTGGCCTTGGGAGACAGCGGAAAGCAAGACTGACACCAGAATTTCTAGGGTTGGCTATGCCAGAGAACATTTCAACTTCAGGTTCACTTACACAGCAATCGTAGGAAGTCAGAATCACTGTTCCCATTTTCCAGATGTGCAAGCGGAGGTTCCCCCAGCTTCAGTAACTTGCCCTATTATCCCAGATCTCATGGTGGTGGAACTCAGGTTTGAGCTCAGGTTTGCCTGCCCAGCAGAGCTCCCTTTTTTTGGTTTCTTTTGGGTTTTGTTTTACAGTACTGAGAACTGAACCCAGGCAGAGCCTTTACACTGAGCTATATCCCCAGCCCTTAAAAAAAAAAAAAAAAAAAAAAATTTTTTTTTTTTTTTTAATTTAGAATCTCACTAAGTGGCTAAGTTGCCCAGGCTGGGCTCAAACCTCAGCCTCCCACAGTCTGGGATTATAGACATATGCCATCTCGCCTGGCTCAGAGCTCCCTGTACTATGTATCTTTGTCTCCATCCCACTCAAGTCCCCAAGGGACTTGTCCCTGAAAAGCCTAAAGGCTCCTGAACTTGCACTCACCTCATCTTGGGGAGGAGGGGCCCATCAGGGGAAAGACATTGGCCCAGGGTTACACAGCAAGGCCATGCTGGGGCCAGGATGACAACCCACAGCTCCTGACTCAGTGCTCAGCACTCAGGCCCTGGCTAAGGATTTGCTGTGCTCACTTTTGCAGGGTTAGTCCCCGGGGTCCGCGGGGTTCCAGGCGGGGTCGGCATCGGTCCTGGTGGTGTCGGCGTTGGTCCTGGTGGCCTTGTGCCTGGTGGTATTGGCCCTGGTGTTGGCACTGGGATTGGACCTGGTGGTATTACAGGTGAGGGGCCTACGTGAGTGGATTTGGGGGGACCCTGAAGCCTCCATGACCTCCATCCCTGAACCCCCTCTCTCCCCCAGGAGCAGGGACTCCAGCTGCAGCCAAGTCTGCTGCTAAAGCAGCTGCCAAAGCCCAGTACCGTGAGTGTCTCCTCACCTCACTCCTCTTCCCCAGGGCCACCTGTGCCCTCAGACCAGGCCCAGGGGTCCTTAGGCCCCATGCAGCAGGCAGGAGGCTAGAGACACAGACTTGGTGGGAGGAGGACTGGGCTCCAGTCCTGGGTCCCACGGCCACACATGACTAGGGACTGACTCCCTCTGATTGTTGGAAGAAGTAGATGAGTTTGCCCAGAGTGAAGAGTAGGATGTAAGGCTGGGAAGTGGAGGGGCGGGGCTGGGGCGCTGGGAGCCCTAGGATACACGTTCCTGAGGAGCACAGGGTCGGCTGGAGTCCGGGGCAGAGCCAGGGGGAAGGCCGCTGCCCAGGTCAGGGCCTGATGCAGTCCCCAGGGTAACCACCTCCCCGAGGGTGCTCCCTGCCCTGCCACCACCCCATTGCCCACCTCTCTGTAGGGGCCGCTGCTGGGCTGGGAGCCGGTGTCCCTGGCTTCGGGGCTGGTGCCGCTGTCCCTGGAGCTGGAGTTGGTGTTGGTGTCCCCGGATTCGGAGTTGGGGCCGGTAAGGAGCCTCCTAGGAGCTGGGGCAGCTCAGCGGGAGGAGATCCTCCCCAGGACCCACCACCACCCAGCAGCATAGCACATTCTCCATTAAGTTCCCAGCCTCAGGCAGGCCATGCCAGGCCTGGAGAGGACAGGAAGGGATCCATAGAAGGAGGAAGTGCAGTCTGGCCCTCCCACACTCCCAGATCAGATTGGCAATGGCACATGCAGGTCCAGGAGCCCCGGATCTGCAGCGTGCACCCCTGACTGAGCTCTGAGGAGGTGGTGCAGGCCGAGAAAGTCAGAGTGGGCTCCTTGGAGGAGGCAACAGAAGCCCAGCCTCAGAGCTAAGCCATTGACCCCCTCTCCTTCCCTTCTCCCAGCACCTGGATCCCTGGCCGCGGCTAAAGCAGCCAAATACGGTGAGCGCAAACCCCCCCCCCACTTCCTGTTTCCCTGTGCCTCTCCCTCCTACAGAAAAGCAGTTTCCGGGACTGCTACAGCCCTGTCCCTTGCCAAATGCCAAGTGCCTCCAGCCCCTGTGACAACCAAAAGCACCTGTCACATTTCCAAACCCCACTGGGGTTCTGACACTGTCACAGCCGCAGGTGCCACTGTTGCTGGGACTTGACAGGCAGCCTCTGCCCCCTCCCCAGAGTGGAGTAGGATCAGACTTTCCCATCTGGGCACCCCTACCCTCCCTGCCTCCCTCTCAGACTGACCCAGCCAGCCTCGAGGACAGGGCAAACCTGCCCACCCCACCAGCCACTAGGCCCTGGGCAACCCGGCCTGGCTGTGCCCTGCATCTGACCCCAAATTCCTCCGGGGAGCCAGCAGGGGGCCTCAGCCAGGCACCTGCCAGCAGCTGGCCCCAGTGGGCTGCTCAGCTGCTGCTCGGGGCCAGTTTCCACCTTGGAAAATCCCAGCATCCTCAGCCCCACACCAGCAGCGCCACTTACCACAGCTCCTCTCCCATCCCCTGCTAGCTGCCCCACCTGCCTGAGCCAGCAGACATTGCCAGGGAAACCAGGCAGTGTCACTGAGCAGAGCAACTAAGGATTCTGATGGCTCCCAAGCCATTTCCTGGCCCAGGACCTGGAGCCCATGCTTTAACCTCTGCTCTGCCTCCTTGCTTCTGTCTGCACAATCTGGGGTAGGGCACTCCCTTTCCCTTGGAAGTACCTGGAGCTGAGTGTCCTAGTGAGTGACAGCTGTCAGTCACCTGCTACCGCTCATGGCAGTTCTACACTGGGCCAAGATTCGGAGCCCACAGAGTTCTCGGGCTGTGTGTATTTCTGTTCACAGACACCTCTAAGGCAAGCAGGGAGTTGGGGACTATGGGCTCAGGGAGACCACAGCTACAACTTGTAGAGAAATCAAGACCCAAACTGAATTCAAACCCAGGGCTATCAGAATTAGAGATGTGTGGTCTGAATTCAGCAGCTTCCAGCCACTGCTGTTACCCAGCCCACTGGCCCAGGAACAAGGAGGTGACCGTGCCCTGTTAGAGAGGAAGAGGTCAAGGCCTGGGGCATTGATTTGGCCCTAAGGGGCACAGCCAGGACTCCGCCCTGGATGTTCTGGAAAGGACTTCCTGTCCAGTGGCCCTCCTACCGGGTCACACAGCCTCTGCCTCCTGTCTGCTTGCCTTGTGTCCCATCCCCCTAAATTAGGGGACCAATCCTCCCTCTTCTGTCCACAGGAGCAGCAGGGGCTGGAGCTCTTGGAGGACTTGGAGCTTTTGGAGGACCCGGGGCTCTTGGTGTACCTGGGGCCCTGGGAGGGGCAGGGATCCCTGGTGGTGTGGCAGGTGAGCTTCAACCCCAGGCTGGGCTGGGCAGGGAGGGAGACAGGCTCACCAACAGTCCTCCCTGAGCTCCCTCTGTGTCCCCAGGCGCCGGGCCTGCTGCCTCAGCCGCTGCTGCTAAAGCTGCTGCCAAAGCTGCCCAGTATGGTGAGCACCGACTGGGACTAGGAGGGCTCAGTCCTGCCCCCTGGGCCCTGTGTCCCTCTAAGGATGCTCTGTCCCTCTGCAGACAAACTCAGCATGGTCTTCAGCCAGTGGGTTTAACGCCCAACTCTCTCCACAGGCCTTGTGGGTGCCGGGGGGCTTGGAGCCGGAGGACTGGGAGTTGGGGGGCTCGGAGTCGGAGGACTGGGCGCCGGGGGGCTCGGAGTCGGAGGACTGGGAGGTGAGGCTGCTCTGGGATGGAAGAGTACTGTGGGTGGTGTGTGAAAGAGAAGCAGAGACAAAAGAGATAGAGCCATTCTTCCCACCCTGGATACCAGCTCAGCCCTTCCAGGAGGGACGAGGAAGGACCTGGCATTGCCTAGGACAGGGCCGGGGGCTGGCCACACCTGGGTACCTGGGAGACCTTCTGTTCAGGGTGCAGTTCAGGGCCTCTTGGCCGGCGCGGATAGACAGTTCCTCCAGAGACCCTTTCTGTGGGCTGCTCGCCTCCCTTGGCTCAGGCTGTCCCAGCACCCTGCCTGCCCCAGCTGCCTGAGTCATCTGTCCCAGGCTTTGTGGGCTGCACCTCTCCTCCGGGTCCCTGGTCCTGCTGTGCTGTTTACCCAGGGGAGCAAGTAGAGCCAGTTGTCCCCTTACAGAGGCCCATCCCTGCACTCTCTCTTCCCTCTCTCTCAACCCACCAGCCCCTCGCAGTGGGAATTCACTCATTTTCCAAGCAAGGCAATCAAAGCCTGGAGAGAAATCGCAGTCCTAAAGCCTCCATCATGGCGGCTCGGTGCTGAAGTGCCGGTCTCCCTCTGGTGGTCACTGGGTCCCCTGACTTGGCCCTCACACCCCTTCCTACATGTTCCAAGAGGTTGGACACACATTAGGGCTTAAGAAAGGCCATCGGGTTGGGGGAAGGCAGGGAGTCCGGGTGGGTCCTGAGCCCTCCTGCACCTCACTTCTCCAGGTGTGTCCCCAGCTGCAGCTGCTAAAGCAGCCAAATACGGTGAGTGCCCCCCCACATCTGTTCCCGCCCAGGCCTCGTGTCCCCATCCATCCCCCGCCCCACTGGGTCCTGCCTGTGGTCGCCCAGGACATCTTCTCCAGGCTGCCCTGACCCAGCGCTGGGGTGGAGGTGTCAGGGCCCCTGCCACTGTGCCCCGTCCTGACTGGTTCCCGTGTGCCCTCTCCCCAGGTGCTGCTGGGCGGGGTCCATTCCCAGGCCACTCCCAGGAGGTGGGGTCGGCTCTGCAACATAATCCTCAGTCCCTCCAGGGGCTGGCAGAGGGGCTCCTGAAGGCTGGGGAGGACAGGGCACCCCGGGCAAAGGCAGTGCCAGTGGGCGCAGAGCTGAGGCGGGGGAACAGGATGCTGGTGGGGCAGGTTTAGTGAGAAGCCTGGTTCCGGGGGACTGGGATGGAGGTGATGTCACCCAGAGAGGCTTGGGTGACAGACAGAGCAGGGCCTGCCTCTCCCACCAACCCCAACCCCAAATCTGATCCCGCAGGCTTGGCAGCCAGACCTGGCTTCGGATTGTCCCCCATTTACCCAGGTAGATGGCACCCCTGTCCTGAGCTCCGGCTGGGTTCTTCCTCCTCCCCAGCTTCACCCCACCCTCAGTAGTCCCCAAAACCTTAGGTCATGTGAGGCCAGGCCCCAAGCTGACCAGAGCCTCCCGTCGTTCTTCAGGCTCGGGGGACATCAACTTTGCTCAAACACTTGTCATATGTCTTGAGGTCCCCGGGTGACAAAGAGCTTCCCCACCATGTCCCACACGATGTGAACTGAGGCTCAGAGAGTGCGGGTGCTCTCTTCCAGAGCAGAGCCCACACCACGAGTCCGGCCCCTCTCACACCACACACATCCAGCCTCAGCCAGGGCCCTCTCTGTATTGTCCTCAGAGGGTCCTCAGAGGGCTCTGGCCACACTCACGGCCCCTCCCCTTGCCTTGCAGGTGGTGGTGCTGGGGGCCTGGGAGTCGGAGGTGAGTCAGCAATAAAAAGGCATCTGGGGGAGGGAGAGTCCTGCCCAGGGAGTGGCCAGTGTGCCCCCCCCCGCTGGTTCTCTAGTTTGGGGGCTTGAGGGAGCCCCTGGGGGAGTCCCAGAAGCTGAAAGGTCTCACCCCTGGGATGTGGGGACAGGAGCCAAGGACCCCAATTCCCAGTGTTCCAGCCCAGCACAGGAGTAGGCTTTGGGAGCAAGACGGGGAGCTAGGGTCTAACTGGAGAGATTGCCAAGTCCCCGCCTGAAGAGAAGGTAACTCGCTGGGAATGGGGCAAATGCCTGTAGCCTGCATTTTGAGAGGCTGAGGCAGAAGGATCCCATGTTCCAGCCCAGCCTGGACAATTTAGTGAGGTCTTGCTGCAAAATAAAAATGCTTTAAAGGCTGGGGTTGTGCCTCACAGTGAAGGCCTTGGGTTCCATTCCCCAGGGAAGGATAAAGGGAGGGAGGGAGGGAGGGAGGGAGGAAGGAAGGAAGGAAGGAAGGAAGGAAGGAAGGAAGGAAGGAAGGAAGGAAGGAACGGACTGGGAGGGACTGGGAGGGACTGGGAGGGGCAGGAGTCAGCTGGGAGCTGAGCCTGGACAGCAAGCAGGTACAGCCTGACAGGAAGGCCTTTCCATGGCTTGGCCCCTGTAAGAGGAGCGGCAGGGGGCTGGATGGGAGAGGTGGGGCTGGACAGCCTTGGGAGCCTGCTGAGACAGGACAGGGCACAGGGGTGCGTCCGCCCCATCATGCCCTCTCACCTCCACAGGGAAGCCCCCCAAGCCCTATGGAGGGGCCCTGGGAGCCCTCGGATACCAAGGTGAGTACTGGGCAAGCAAAGGCAGAGGCGGGGAGGGGCTGCCCATTCGGCCCAGGCCTGGTAGGAAGTGGGCAGACAGGGCTGGGCACCAGCCACCCCTTCAGCACGGATGGGTCCAGCAAGGGTGCCCCAAGCTCCTTAGCTGTTGCCAAACCCCGCCTCTACTCTGTCCTGTGGTCACTCAGGGTGGACGCCCTTCCGCCCCCACCTGCTTCCCACTCCAGGAGTGAGGCAGCTGAGGCCAGGGGCAGGAAGCCCAAGGACAACCCCAAAGGGTTGCAGGTCTCCATCCCACCCCAGGGCATGCACATTGTTTACCAAACACTCCTTGTTCACCCACCGTTCCCTGCCACCAGGTGGCAGGAATGAGCCTTGAGTGCCTCGAGCCAAATGCTGCACTAGGGTCTGGGCAGACCCTCCCCAGCAGGGTCCAGGAACCCACTAAGCCTCTCCTGATGTGGATAAGACCCTCCGCCTCTCTCTGGGCCTCAGCTCACTGATCTGATGCCTTGGCTTTTAAAGGGTCTAAGCCAGGCATGGTGGTGCATGCCTGTAATCCTAGCACTCAGGAGGCTGAGGCAGGAGGATCACCTCTAGTTTGAAGCCAGCCTGGTCTACATAATGAGGTCAAGGCCAGCCTGAACTATATAGCGAGACTATCTCAAAAACTAAAAAAGGAAAGAAAAGTTGGGTCTATCCAAAAGAGCTGCTCTGAGCCTTTCCTAAAAGGCTTCCCACACATGTAGACCCCAACCTGGCCCTCAACCTGGCCCCTTTCCTCTCTGAGTCCCCATCTCATCAGGGGTATCTGGGACACTCTTATCACCCTGGGAGTTAGGGCAGTGGTCAGTGTGTGCCTTGGGCCAGGGCCTGACTCCTCTCAGCATCCCTGGGCCTCTTGGAAGTGCTCAGAGCAAGAGGGGATTGGAGATGCACCCCAGAGGACCCCAACTGACTGCTGTCCCCCACTCCTACCCAGGTGGGGCCTGCCTGGGGAAATCCTGTGGCCGGAAGAGGAAGTGAGCTTCCGGGGGGACCCCTGACTCTCGACCTCATCAACGTTGGTGCTACTGCTTGGCGGAGAATGTAGACCCTCGGAAACCCCACCCCACCCATCCCCACCTGGGAGGGGACGCAGGCCGATGGCCTCCAACGCCCACACACAGGACAAGAAAACAAGAGCGGGGTGGCCACGGGCCCCAACTGCGAGGCCCCCCTTCAGAGGCCATGAGTGGGTGGCCTCGGGCCCTCCCCAGCCCCTTCCCACCCAGGAGCTCCCCCCACAGTCTCCATCTCTGGGGAAATTGGTGCTACACGCTGGTGCTCTCGTCTTCCTGGGGGAGGAGGAGGGCAGGACAGCCCTGGGAACCCCCTCCCCGGGGCTCCTCTGATGATGGTGCCTACATTTCCTGGGCAGTGCCACCTCCCCCTGCCCATCAGGAGCCAACCCTGGCTGCGGTCCAGTTGGTACCCAAGCCCCGGAAACCTAAAGCTGGATTCGGTCACATGTTCCCCTCCCCTCTGCCTGTGGCTGCTCCCCACATCCGGGGCACCTTAGAGTCAGAAGACCCCACACATACAACACTGGGAATGGTCCCCTTGCTCTCACGGAGCCACCTGCCCGTCTGTCCAGCCTCCCAGCCTTGCCCCAGTCCACTGCCCAGTGCCACTCGCTGGCTGGGCACACCTGTCGCGGCAGCCTGCGACCGGCCTCCGTCTTTCCATACACCCTGACGCTGGCCCAGGGTGTGAGGGGCCTGCGGGCTTGGCGGACAGGGCTCTGCTCCCCACCCCGGACCTCTCCACACGCAGTACTGTACCCCCGACTCTCCCTTGAGCCACCGTAACTACAGAGCATGTCTCACCCCCCCATCTCTTTGTGTCTCGCTGTGATAGATCAATAAATATTTTATTTTTTGTCCTGGATATTTGGGGATTATGTTTGATTGTTGATGTTCTCTTTGGGTTTTATTTTTGTGCTGATCTGGGGAGCTGTAACTCAGTAGAAATTTCATTTTAATCACTCTGGTATAACTCTGGATGGAACACATTTTTTAAAAAAATAAGGAAGAGAATTAACTGCTTCAGAAAAGACTAATAAATGAAAACCTTTCAAAGGAAACTGTTTCGGGCTCCTTTGTGTTTTTCCATCTGGCCTAGTGGGGAGCGGGGCTGCATTGGGGGGATCTCGACCACCCACCGTGTGCAAGGGAGGCTGCTGACCCCACGCACCCACTGCGGGCATCCAGGGCAACCATCCTTGGCGTTGAGACCACACCCTTGGCCTTGGTGAGCAGCCACGTGGAGACAGAGGGGCCTCTGATCTGAGCACCAGGCAGTGCAGAGGGTCCCCACATCCGCTCCTCACTCAGGGCTTTGCGAGGGAGGCGCCACTGAGCCTAAGAAATGAGGTCCTGCAGGGGGCAGCAAGAGACTGCGCTTTCCCCTCGCTCCTCCCCGCTCCCCCAGGAGCCCCAGGGCTCCGCCCAGCCCCGCAGACGACTAGTCTGCCTGGAGCCACTCCCCCAACCACATTCCCGCTTCCAGATTCGACAATGTTCTCCCCAGACCCTGCGCGCCCCCTCCCAGGACCCCTAACCCCTTATGCCATATCTATCCCCCTGGAGACTCCGCTGCCCTGTGCACAGCTCTGGGAAGGACGCAGGCCCCAGAGCTCTCTCCTGAGTGTGGGTGACACTGTCTCCGAGGGTCTGTGTGCAAGGATATTGCAGTGCCACAAGAAGTGGGGACAGAAAGAGAAAGCAGTGTGTTCAGGGAGAGTGCCCCAGAGGCGTGAAAAGGAACAAAAGGCAGCTAGGTGTTCAGGTGCACGCCTTTAATCCCAGCATGCGGGGAGGCTGAGGCAGGAGAATTACAAGTTCAAACTCAACCTTAGCAACTTAGCCAGAGAGAACCTTTCTCAAAAAAAGGAAAAAGGAAAAGAGCCAAGGTAATTTACCAGGCAGAGGCAATAGGCAGGAGGAGGGTGAGGCCTTCCAAGCAGAAGGACAGTCAGGGAACCCAGAGGGAGGGAACAGAGCTGGGGAGCCCTGAAGAATGGGTCAGGAGGAGGAAGGCCGCTGCTCAGGGCGACCCACACAGGGCTGCAGGAACAGCCCAGGGAGGGCCCCCCAGCTTGCCCAGAGAGTGGCAAAAGAGATCCAGCCAGCCATTCATTCCTGCCTCACTTTTCTTTCTTCTTTTCTTTCCCCTCCACCCCCATCTGTACCCCAGCACTAAGACTGACCTACAAGGCGGTGGGGTATTGAGGGTGGAACCCAGAGCCTTTGCTCTGAGCTACACCCCCAGGCCTTTTTCAATTTTTATTTTGAAACAAGGTCTAAATTGCTAAATTTCTCAGGGTGAGGGGGAGCTTGCAATTCTCCTGCCTCAGCCTCCCAGAGTGCTGATTACAGATTATGGGTGTGCGCCATTATGCCAAGCTTCTCAGCCCTTTTTTTTTTTTTTTCCTTAATTTTCAGATTTTAAGACACGATCTCACTAAGTTGCCCAGACTGGCCTTGAACTTGTAATACTCCTTCTTAGCCTCCCGTGTAGCTTAGATTATAGACCTGCACCACCAAGCCCAGTGATTCATTTTTTTATCAAAAAAAAAAAAATCCCTTGTTGGCTCCTCTTCAGCTGTCTGGACTTGGACAACTGGCAGCACCTGCCCTCAGCCCTATAGTCTTCCTGCCTTGGTTTCTCAGAGCTCACAGCTTTGTTTTGGTTTTTGTTTATTTGGGTTTTGGTTTTTTTGTTTTGTTTTTTGGTACTGGGGATCGAACTCATGTCCTTGCTCTTGCGAGGCAGGCCACCGAACCGCTGAGCTAAATCCCCAGCCCTTCTGTTTGTTTTTGATACTGGGGATTGAACTCAAGGCTTTTGCACTGAGCTACATCCAGAGCCCTTTTCGTATTTTAGATTTTGAGACAGGGTCTCACTAAGTTGCCCAGCCTGGGCTCAAACTTGTGATCCTCCTGCCTCAGCCTCCAGTGCTGGATGACAGGGATGCACCATCGCGCCTGACTTCTACTGGCTGCCTGCTTCTGTGTCTTCCCATGGTCTCTCTCTGAACATGTCTGTGTTCTAATCCCCTCTTCTCCGAAGGACTCCAGACATCTTAGAGCCGACCCGAGTGACTTCATTTTCACTTAATTACTGCTTTGCAGACCCTATCTGCAAATAGAATCACATTCTGAGCTCCTCGGATAAGGGTTTTTGTGTATGAATTTTGGGGATCCATCAGCCAGCTCATAAGAGTTACCATATTTGGAAAAATGGTTTTCACAGATGTAAAATAGAGACCATCAGGATGAGCCCCAAATGCTATCATGACTATCCTAAAAAGCCAGAACTGTGTGCCAACAAATTGAAAGATCTAGATAAAATAAGTAAATTCTTCCAAACACACAACCTGCCAGGCTGACTCATGAAGCAACAGATGAGCTGAACAGATCAATAATGAGTAAGGAGCTGAATCTGTAGTAAAAATTGCAACAAAGAAAAGGCCAGGGGGAGGGGAATGGGAAAAACAGAAGAAGTAAGATACATCATGCACAGGTACAAATTCCCTATGGTGAACCTGATCATTATGTATATCTAAAATGTACCGATAATGCCAGGCATGGTGGAGCACGCCTGTAATCCCAGCACTCGGGAGGCTGAGGCAGAAGGATCGCTGTGAGTTCGAGACCAGCCTGGGCTACATAGTGAGCTCCAGGTCAATCTCAACTATATAGTGAGACCCTGTCTCCAAAACCAAAAAAATAAAATGTACCGATAAAAAAATGTTGGGGAGAAAGAAAGAAAGAGGGAGAAAGAGAAAAGTCCAGGACCAGATGGCTTCCCTGGAGAATTCTGCCAACCCTTTAAAGAATGAACACCAACCCTCCCAAAGCCAAAAAATATACAGAGGCAGAACACTTCCAGTGTCATGCTAAGAGGCTGGCATTATCCTAACACCCAAACCAAAAGCACAAAAGAAGAACTACAGACTGAGAAGCCAAAAAATATACAGAGGCAGAACACTTCCAGTGTCAATGCTAAGAGGCTGGCATTATCCTAACACCCAAACCAAAAGCACAAAAGAAGAACTACAGACTGATATCCCTAATGAACATGGACTTGAAAATCCTCACCAAAATCCTGTGAACTTTTCAGGAAGCCCCATACTACAACCAAGTGGGCTGTATCCCGGAGGACACAAAGGTTCGACGTGACCAAAGCCCACAGTGAACACTGTACTTAATGGTGAAAAATGTAAAGCTTTTCTTCTAATGTCTAAGATAGGAAACTTACTTTTATAATATTATAAGCCACAGCAGAATTACTCTGGGAGGCTGAGGCAGAAGGATTACAAATATGAGCCTAGCCTGGGCAACTGGTGACTTAGCAAGGCCCTGCCTCAAAATATAAAACAAAAAGGGCATGGGATGCAGCCAGCTCAGTGAAGATCCTGGGTTCAATCCCCAGTAAAACACACACACACACACACACACACACACACACACACACACACACACAAATTCAGTTGTATTTACATACATTCACAAATAACAACTTGAAAGAGAAATTAAGAAATGATTCTTCCCAGGCATGATGGCACATGCCTGTGATCCTAGTACTCTGGAGACTGAGGCAGGAGGGTCACCACCTGTTCGAAACCAGCCTGTTACATAGTGAGTTCAAGGCCAGCCTGAACTACCTAGCCAGACCCTGTTTCAACACCCCACCACCATCCAAAAAAAGTGGTGGGATACATGGAACCCAGAAGTAGAATGATAGTTACAGGGGACCTGGGGGCTGAGGAGTTGTTTGATGGGTAGAACTGCAGGCTTGCAAGATGAAGAGGTTCTGGAGGTCTGTTTCACAACGATGGAAATAAATTTAACACTACTGAGACAGACACTTACCATAGTAAATCTTATGCTGTGTGTTTTCTTTTTTGCTTCATTTTGGTCTAGGGCTTTTTTTTTTTTTTTTTTGTACTGGGAATCGAACTCCGGCCCTTGCACTTTCAAGGGAGGTGGCAGAACCACTGAGCCAAATCCCCCACCCTGTTTTGTTTTCTTACTCAATTGAAAAGAAGAAGTGGGCTGGGAGTGCAGCTCAGTGGCTGAACACTTGCCTAGCAGGAACCCAGCACTACAAGAGAAAAATGAGGGCAACAACAGACAGATTCTCCACTAGAACCCCCAGAGGGAGTGCAGATCTCCTGGCACTTTAGTCTTGGCCGGTGAAACCGAGTCTGGTCTCAGGGCCTTCAGCTCAGGAAACTAATGCAGTGAATGATTAGCTCCAACACTGAGTAACAGAGTAAGTTACATGGGATGGTCCTCATGCTTGAGAAGTTGGAGCAGCTGAGAGGCACGGGGTGGTTTTAATAAAAGTGACCAAGGAAAAAAGAAATAAGGGTGAAGAAGTAGCCAGACACTGGGTCCCAGGAGGACTTTGGGTTTAGAGACCAGAAAGTGTCCCACATGAACCTGCAGGCTCAGAGGCTCTGGAGTGACAGAGTAAGGGCAGGACTTTGGGCCAGTTGCCCCGAACATACAGCAGACCCAGGAGTAGAAGAGGAGAGGGCTCTGGGGGTGTTTTGTGCACAGACCCAGTAGGATCTGCAGAAACAATACCAGAGATGAAATATGAAATATTACGTCTCCCAACCTGTGAGCTGTCTGATACATTGAGCTCATGTCCTCTAAAAATCTCAGAATGAATTCTAAGAACAACAGAGGTTAAGGGTAGGAAGATATTTATTGAGAGGATAGCTCCTGAGAGGCAGGGAGGGTTCCAAATGGGTAGCCAGGGACCCCATTCTACAGGAGAGTTCTACGAAGTAAAACCCACGTGGGCACGACGTAGGCCACAGTTATGGTCAACCAATAAGGCTACAAGTACAGCCACTTAGGTCATGGTGTTCCAGTCGAGAAACAAGTCGTGTAACAAGCGCGGATGGAAAGGACAAAGACTCCTCCTAGGCAATGGTGGGCCCTGAGGTCCTGGTCACCCCCTGCGGTGGCTGACATCTAACCGGATTTCATTAGGCCCAGTGTTTGTCCTTTCAGGAAGTGTGCAGGTCTGGTC